GCTAGCACAGGATTTGCATGAGTGTTCATTCGTTTTGCAGGTGGTCAGGGCATGTTCAAGCTGCAATCTAGGGGCTCCTGGCATTGCTACTAGGGGCTGAAGGACGACTAGGGGCTCCTGGCATCGCTACTAGGGGCTGAAGGACGCTACTGGGGGCTCCTGGCATCGCTACTAGGGGCTGAAGGACATTACTAGGGGCGCCAGTCAGTGCTACTAGGGGCTGAAGGTCGCTACTAGGGGCTCCTGGCATTGCTACTATAGGGGCTGAAGGACGCTACTAGGGGCTCCTGGCATTGCTATTAGGGCTGAAGGTCGCTACTAGGGCTCCTGGCATTGCAAATTTGTGAATTGCGCAGGCAGCAGCGAGTGGCATGGTTGCTCAAACCGAAGCTTCACATCTACAAGCATGTCATCAAACGAACGCTGCATTGGCGCGTCTTGGCTTAACGTGGATTCTGATTTCAAGCTTGGTGTTGAGATCTCATGAGCTATTTGCCAAAAAGTGAGACCTGCTGAAGGTCACAATTCTCGCCACTGGTCCTGCTTTAGCGAAGAAGATTCGATTGGAGTCCTGAAGCACGTTGCTCGCCATGTATCTGGTGCTCAGAGCGAGCAGTATCTCTGCAAAATTGCCCGGCTCAGGCCCCTGTGAATGACCAAATTGTGGTACAATTCATGGGCATTTGCTTGTAGTATGCATGAAAATATACTGCGAAGTATATTACACGTGGGCAGATATCAACTGCTGGCCAGGCTAAAAGTGGCCAAGAAGCGGATGAGAAGGACCGGACATGTGCTGCAAACATGGCAGTTGCAAACTCGATGTTGAATTTTGGACTATTTTTGCAAGAATGCTATCGATTTTTGCTGCAGGATTGACATGGTCGCAGCCTGGAATCGCTGATGGTCGGACGATGTGCCAGAAAAGTGATCGGAGAGCAGCTGTTTAGTGAAAGTAGTCTCTGATCGCATGGTACTCGTTAAACTGGTCCCCCGGGTTCGCAGGGAAAGGGTGAGAGAGGTTCTTGAGTGGTAGTTGAAACATAGTGATCGATCTGATTCCGAAGACTCTTCCAGCGACCTCCACGATGAACGATGAGACTCTACTTTCTAGTCCCCCACTTGCAGATCGAAGCACAAATCTTATCCATCACCTCGGTCACCCTCCCTTCTCCCCCCTCAGAAACTACAGAAACTGGTCAACATCGGGCGCGACTTCGGATGGGGTTCTGGGGAGTTTGGATTGACCCCCACGCTAAGTAACATGGAACCTGATACTTCAGCCGTAGAAGACCACTTTCCGAATACCAATTCCCAGGTTTTGGGGATTCCATGTGGTCCGAATAGCAGGGGAGTATATACCAGGGCCTCCTATTAAAAGGTGTCTAGTTAGAGGTTTTTCCGGGCTATCCATGAACCACCCCCCCCGGCCTTCTTCTCGCCGTCCTTCTTCGATCCGTCCGGGACCTTCGACCGAGGAAGTTGGCGCAGAAGTTGCAGATCACCGAGGCGCAGCCGCGCAGCTCCCACGAGGGGCTCATCGCCACGAGGCGCCGACCACCTCGAACGGGGTGGCTCCAACGGGGCCGTCCGGAGCGTCGAAGGCCGAGTCCGGAGCGTCCGACCGCTCCGTTCGTGAGCGATGCCCGAAATGCTCCGGTTCGTAGCCTTCTTGCTCCGTTCGTAAGGCCGGGAACCCCGATCGTAGCGTCCGATCGCTCCTTTCTTTTGGGGGTTCGGATCTGCAGAAGGGTGGAAGCGGTGCGTTTTGTTTTTTGGTTTTGAGCGCGCCGTGCGGCACGTGGGGGTTTTTGGACCCTGGTGGTGGTGGAAAGGAAGGAACGGACGGAGTTGGTCCAGTTGCTGAATTGATGACATACTGATGAGCAACATTGAAGCCTCTAGAACTGTCATTGGCCCAAGAATTTCTGGCAAAACTCTCTAAAACCCTTGCCGATTTGCATCGAAGACACCCGGGCCCTATTCAACCAGAAGTGCAGCCCCTCATCGAAGAATTGCACCACCGCGGAACCGGATTCATTGTAACTGACAAGGCGCAAGTCAGTCACCCTATCTCATCAAATCTACAGATGCAACTCCCATCCCCCAAAATGATTCTCTACACTCTGTATATTATATCCTGATACTTATATATTATCTCTCGAATACCTTGGACATGTCCAGACATTCTGCCCCTTGTGGCATCTCTTGGCTGCGTTGATAGAGATATTCTGGACGGCATTCCTTCTGCCCAAAAAAGGAAGGACGTTGCTATACCAGCACCGAACCCAACAGGTCTCCGATGGCTGGAGGGTTGTGAAAGGCTCTAACAGGTTTCAATTGGTGACCTGTTGGCCGTCGCTGCGGACCTCTCCCCGTCTCACTCCCCCGAACCCCCGTGGCGTCACGTCACCCAGTCCCGTGGCTTTGTTAGGGATCCCAAGAGCGGCGCCGCCGTCTTCTTGGCGAATCGCCTCAGCAGCCCCTGGCTGCCTAGCACCGAACAAGCCTTCCCGCACGAGCAGCGCCACGTGGCCGCCGCGCGGCCGGGCGAGTCCTGCGCGGAGCGGTGTCTCCGCTTTTCGGGCGGAGAAACGCGGTGTTTCACGCCGGGTGGGTGGGCGAGGAGCTACTAGCTCCGGAGCGATAGGAGGAGGTGGTGGTATTTCGGATGTAGAGTCAATGTAGAGGTCCTTCTCAGGATGTTTTTTTGGCCGTGGCAAAAAGAACACCTTGAATTCATCGTGAAACTGACATCTTCTCGTATAAGAGTCATCCCCCGGTCACGAAGTGAAGTTCGGACGGTACCGGAGATGATTTGGACCCGCGACCATCTCGATGTGAACTTGGAAATCCCAGACACGACACATGTGACTGCCATATATGCCGCCCCATTGACCCCTCTGGCACCACCCCAACTGATCGGCATCTATGGCAGTCCCATGGAGTGTCTAGGAATTGTAGGGGAACAAAGACATCGTTGGATCGGTGATTGGTCCCAATCGAAAGCAACTGGACCAGTCTACCAACCAAGCCACCCACAGAGCAGTTGGGAAGAACCAAGTTCGAAGCGGTGCAGGACATGTGCCAACGGCTTCGGATGATTTGCTCCGATTTTGAGTTGGAGTTCATCAATGATTGTGCTGCACTGAAGGCAGAACCCGCCCGCGGAGCTGCGCGCTGGGGGGAAAACACACGCAGTCCGAGGTTCTGCAGGATGTCCAATGTCCAAGCTGAAAAAGAGCCTTTCGAAAGGGGAGAACATCTCTGCAAGGTAAGAGGAACAGCTTGATTCTCCTAGGAGTCTTTCAACCCTCGAGCCCGGGCCCACAACTCTTTGCCTCGCAGGCACACTTCCCCTGCGAAGAGGGCTGTGGACACCAAGTGGGAGAAGAGATCCCCTGCTATGTCCATGAAGCTTCCAGAGATACCGGCGACTAGTCGACTGTTCAGCGGCGAAGGGGGTAGAAGTGGGGAGTGGACACTTCCGACCCGAAGTCCAAGTCCGACTGAGGCAAAGGAAATTCCTGGTCTCCGCAACACTGAGTCAGACCATTCTTTTTTACAGGGCAGACTGGATTCGCAGGGCAGAGCCAGGAAAAAGCGAGATTTCTGCCCACACTTCCCTGTCCTGACCTGGGCACTTTGGTTTTTCATGGAGAGTGGCACGATGTTCGGTTCGCTAGTGGGCTGCTGGCTTCCAAAACTTGCAACACTTTGGGCATCCAGACTGGTGGAGAATTCCGGGCTTACTCTTCAACACACCAGACCCACTCTACAAAGGGGACCCACATTTATGCTCCTGTCTAGGGTTCCTACTGGACTGTCAATCAGATGACCCTTCACCATCTGGAAGAACTTCTGACCTGGACTGGTCGAGGCAAGCAATGCTTGGTCACGGACGATGCCATCCCACGCTGCGGTGCCAAGAACCAGGCGACCAGTCGGCTGTGCTCCTGCATCCCAGCCTGAAGGTGCCGAGGAAAGATTCCGGCACGAGGGGAAGACGCAGGAGACGGATCGGTCGATCCCAAGCTATAGGGGTCCAACAGCGGGCCAGGTCGGTGTGTCAAGAGGCTCGCTAGCCACAGGGCCGAAGAAAATTTGGAGCACCCCGAAAATGCTTCAACAGCAGAAGAGCTGGCATCTCTCTACTTCGCACCCCAAAACACATCAAAACACTGGCCGATCCACTTCCCACCGCCCGCAAAGCTCGGAGCGGTGACATCAACTCCGCCGACGGCGTGCAGCCGAGCTTGTGACAGCGCAGCGGTGACGGCGCAGCTGTGGCGGTGACGCCGTGTGACGGAGAAGGCTCCCTCGAAGAGGGCCGAGACTTCTGCTTCGTCCACGCGAAAAGCCGGGAAAAAGGGGGGGCCAAACGTGTGGAGCCTCCTCCGGCAGAAGCGGAAGTCAGAAGGGTTAAGTCAACGAGGGCCACAGTTTTGGAAGATCGGGTTGTTGCTGGGGCATGCTGGCCTGTTTCAGTTGACCATGGCTTCAAATCCGATAGGAACTCAGAGTGCAAATCTGTTCCGAATTGCAACGGAGTTGAGATTGAGCATTCACAGTGTTCACCCACCTCCTTTGGGAGGCTTTTCTCATGAGAAATGATTCCGTCCAGTTCGTCCTCCGTCCTCCATGGGTGGCCTCAGTTCTTCAAATTCTACCCAGATCACGATTAGAATGGGACTGGCGCCGATCCACTCCCAGTAACCAGCCCTGTCTTATGCCAGTCCCATGGGTGGTCTGGGATACGTGCACCATTCCAGTTGACCCCAGATGCGGGTGCAGGATCGAGGCCTCCCATCGACGGATCGACGGAGGCCACCACCCTTGAAACGGTCGATGGAGGACCGTCTCCGGACGTCTCGGCCTGGACCTCCCCAAGAGGTTGAAGGACCTGAACTAGACTATCCCTGTTGGGTATCCCCAGGCTGCGGTCCTAGTTCAGGTCACTGTCCACCTCTCTCCGCCTGGACCGTCTCCGGACAGCCAAGGCCTACATCGCTTTTCACATTCCAGCCGACCACCTCTTGGCGGCCTCGGTGCGGGGGGACGGCTGGACTGCCGCGACGGGGGAGAGGTGGTTCAACCCCGTGACTCCGGTGATTTGGGGTCGCCTATGGGATTTCCAATTGGGCACCCATTGGATGGTCCTGGTATATTTGGAGAGATGTGAATCATCCCATGGCTTTCAGAGCGATTGGGAAGGTGCTGAAGAAGAGCGATGGTGATTGAAGTGGTTGGATTTATACCAGGACCGGAACCAAGTTCGGGAGGATTTTGGACACACCGAATCACCTCTAAGAGCTAGCCTCGGCTATGGACATAGACATCCCCCCAAAAGGGTAGGGTCCTGGTATTTGTTGTTGGGATGATGTTCATGTTGCATGGATTGATTCGGATCCTTATAGATACCCGTCCTTCTTGGCATTGGACGACGTCTGTACTTCGGATGTCAAACATCACGTGGGCCCTCGGGTGGCGGCAGCAGATCCGAGCCGAGCCTGACGTCTCAGGTGATGTCATGCCCAGCTGCCTTGGCCATGGCCAAGCTGAGCTATCCCGAGACAGAGATTTCCAGGTGGTGTTCGGGCGGGATCGCGAGGTTTGTTTCGGTGCCCGGTGGGCTCTACAATATGCTTGTATGCGAAACGGTTATTAAGTTGGTTTCTTCAGAGGCAGGTTAGGCACGATCTTTTAGGACGCGTGAACAGACGGAATGTTCCGTTGCACTAGTTATGGTTGCATAATGTTGCATAAACTTCACCCTAATGAAGCACCGATGGGGTTGGATTTCTGACAGCGCTCTTCACCCTGATGAGTCTATATTCTGTCTAAACATTGATCCATTTTCAAGGGCCGCATGGAGCAATCGTCGGATCCCAATCCCCAAATCCTCGGGTGAATCTCCATCTGGCTCGGCTCGCCTGTTTGGGCCGCCTGAGCGCGGCGTCGCGCGCGGCCGCACCCGGCCGGATCGTGGTTGTCTTGGATGGGTCGTTCAACGATGTTCAGTAAAGACAAGACCGACACCAGTACCGACACCAGTACGTCAAACCCTTCAGTCTCCCGGTGCCAATTACCCACAAGCACGTTTCGCTGCTGCTATTCATTTTTTTTGAGAAACAACACACATATATGTTTTTCAGTGGTTTGTTTCCCGTAACAATGACACCGGGGCCGATCCAACTTTCCCCTATGGTTTCACGCGCGCCCGAACCGACGAAACCATTCTTCGGTCAGGACCAACGACCTCAAGGCCGTGACCAGCGATGGCAGTGGGAACGTCTTGGATGCCATGGCCACCGGAGTGATCACCGGCATTTCGCTGGCCACTGGGTGAGCAGATGGAGGACAGGATCGAGTTGTGAATAGAGGACCAGGAGATGGAGGAGCGTGTTTGGACAAGATCAGCGTGGTTAATGCAATTACTGGGTGGAAAGATGGAGACTGAGCTTCACTGAGGTGTTTGGACATGTGTTTAGATTTGAAAGGAACTGTTATGGACCCTTGGACGCAGGCTGGAAGATCCCAACAAGAAAGGTGAGGCCTTGATCCTGTGCTTCCTGCATGGATGTGTCAACCCCAAAAATCAAAACCCATCTGAACCCGATTTTGCATCATTTGTCTGCCGATTTCGGCTTGAACAACTTCAGCCAGGCTTTCCAGTGCCGGGTTCCGGGTCACCTTCTGCTTCCCCGGCCAGCGCTTGTGCCCCCGGCATCGCATTGCGCTTCGCTGAGGCTGGCACGATCGCTGGGATGCTGATTGCATTTGTGGCTGCCATGGCCTTCTTGAGACCTTGGCAATCTAGGGATCTGGGTGTGTTTGTTCTCTTGCTGAAGAAAACCACTACTAGAAACCACCGAATTCCGATGACATCTACGAAATGAGACGCACACCAAGTTGTGGGTGGTGCTCCTAAAACGGCCAGTGGGTGGCCCATGGTTGCAGCCCGTCCGACGACGGACGTCGGCTTGGCCCCACGAGGAATGCCGCTTTGGAGTGGACTGGAGAGCTGGTGGGACTCCAAGGTCTGACCTTTGATCTGGCCACTTGGGACGCAGGTGCTGACTATGACGCAGTATGAGTGCTGTACGGCAGGGATGCGTCTTCGGCCCAGGTGTTTTCTTCCAGGTGAGGTGCTGAACATTCGGTGCACACTTGTGTTGGTTGTGTTTTGCTTCCGTATACGCCTAGGTCATGTCCTATGCCATGTGGCCGCTGGCCTTCATGATGGGTGTCCCACAGGAGGATTGCCTCACCGTCGGCCTCCTCATCGGCACCTCGCTGCGAACCGAACGGACACGGACGGAGGGTCGTTGGAGTCGTTGGAACTGTCGGAAGGGCTGTTGGTCGCTGCCAGTGATTTGGTCTTATGCTTATGTCTTTCGTTTGCTTTGAATGCTCTTCCAAGAAAAGGATCCTTTTGACATCTTTTGACATGTTTCTTCTTTAACGTCATTTTTTGTGCAGGGTGCTTGCTCTTTTTTGTTCTTCGACTGTATTTCTCATGTTTCTCGCCTTTGATGTTTAGTGGTGGGCTTGTCACATGAATGGTTCGCGGAAGCAAAACTTTGGCGTGCGTAGCGTTGCGTAAGCTTTTGGTGGGAGATAGGAATCGCATGGAATCGCATAAGCTGCGTAAGCAAGCCCAAGTATCAGCATACATTGCTACATGTCATGTCACCTTTACACATATTTGTTGAAATCATATTTGCATATATTTGCACCGTGTACGGACAACTGTCACACACCATTGAAACATGCAGGGGCATGTTTCTGAACATCGGTGAATCCGTTTCAGGCTTTTGGTGTCGGACATCCGCAGAAGTGCCGCGTAGGCTGCCCCTAAGCACTGCGTAAGCGTGGTTTGCTTTGAAGACCCAACACAACCCATTAACTCTTTGCCGCTCACTGCCCAGCGGCAGAGGTGACAGATCTGTTGAACTCAGTGCATTCCAAGTGCCAATCCTTTCTGCCAGACATTTTTGCTGTTAACGCCATGTGTGTGCTCCGCCTGGAAAACCGATCGCGTGTAAGCTGTGCTGTGGTGTGGTGCTCAAATTCATAGGCGTAAGTGTTGCGTAAGCCCCTTCTTCCAAGAACTACGCGCGTAAGCTGCCATTGTCGCGTAAGGGGCGCGTAAGCAGTGGCGTAAGAAGAATCTTACGACATAGGCAAATGCCACAGGTTTTAGAACCGCTCACTGGATGTGGATCATCCTAGCTAATTGAGGCCAGAAGACGGTGCTGAATGCTACTTGGCGAGAGGGAAGATTTGGGGAGGTCGATGAGAACAGCACGCGACCTTTCTTCAAAATTCTGTGCGCAGTTGTTGTTTCAAGACAGATCGATCTATTGAAGCTGTTCTTGAGACGTGCTTCGGATTTTCGATGGTTGGGGGTGCCAAGTTGTTCGTTTGTCATGTCGGCGTTCTTTCCACCGGAAAGCACCTCCAAACATACTTACACGGCGCTTTTTTCTTCAAAACGCTGTACAATGACTCACTCTATTCTTGTTATCATTTCAACGGAAGACCGACCTGAGGTTTGGTCTCTTTGTTTTAACATGAACCAGATCCATACCACATGATACACTCTGTTGGCTTTATCTGAGGCTCTGGGAGGAACAGGTCACAAGTCACATCGGAAGTCTCTGGATCGGCACAGGTTTTTTTGCCGTTGCACAGTGTATACCAGGACCCCCGGAGCGGTTCTGTCTCTGGATACCCCCAGATCACTGACTTAAGGAGCTGTAATTAGACACCACCTGACACCCCTGGCCTGGGGGCCCTGTTTTATTTTTTTTTCCAGGACCCACCTGTCGGGGTGGTCGACATGGACACCCCGGGACGATCAAGAACGAAGCCCCTTAGGCCTTAGGGTATACATACCTGGAGCTTCATGTCGGGGTGCCCTGTCTGGAGATCCCGGATGGTAGTGTAGGGGCTTCCAGCCAGGTAACCCCGAACTGAAGGTGCTGGTACCAGGACCTTCCAACAGGTGGTTTTTGGCCACCTCTTAACCTCTAAGAGGCTATTTATAGACACCTCTTGGAAGGTCCTGGTATAGATCTATATGTAATTAGTATGCCTATTACAAAGCCCCTTAGGCCTTAGGGTATAGATATTGGATGATATTGGAATGTCACCGGTCACCTCGCTCGCCAAACTGGCCGGAGTTCCTTTTCGCCGCGCCGGTGCCCCGACCGAAAAGGAGTTCGTGGCCTACCGAAACCTGGCCGATCTCGTCGCCAAGGGCGCCATCTCTACCAAGGCAGTGCCTCGGTGATGAATCACCCGGAGCTGTTGAAACATACCAAGTGTTCGGAGAGGGTGCGGAAGTTTTCGGCAGTTCCATGCCGTCACATTCACGGGCCCCCCCATGGGACGAAGCAACCGTTTCTTTTAGACGTACGTTTCTGGATGGAACTGCTGGTAGACTGCTGGTTCGTGTGAACACCTACGGATATTGAAGGTAGCATTGGGGTGTTTTGATTGGAGCTGCTTGCTTATTTGCCAAGTCTTTCCTGTCGCGGTCAAGACGATCTGTTCTAACGATCACTAAGATCCATTCCAAACCGCTGCATGCACTCCAAAAAGCTCAGTTCTTGCTGGTGACATCTTTCGAAGGCAGACTGAACATGTTTGAAGCTCTGTTCCGCTGGCTTCCGGTCGGCGACCGCAAGCCGGCCCGGACCGGACCCGTCCGAGCGGTTTTCTAAGGAGGTCATCGCGACCTATGCCCTCTGCGGCTTCTCGAACTTTGCCTCCATCGGGATTCAGGTCGAAGAATCGGGGCCAACGTTCTGCGGCGTCGAAGGGATAGATTCAGTCAAAACGGAAGTTCTTGGGTTTGCTTCAGAGTCCGAAATCCAAGAGGACAGCTAGTGCTCCGGTGCTCCGTTTGACATTCTTGGGTGCCCATGATGGTGGTCTTCTCTTTTGGCCATGCGAAGTCAGAGTCATCTTCACTAACACTAGCGAACACTCACTTGAGCTTGACGATGTTGCTCGTTGCTGAGCCCATACTCTTGAACCGAATGGGAAGAGTTAGTTAGTCGTTCTTGTCCACCGGGTCGGAAACCGAATGTGTAGTCCTGCTGCAAGATTTGATTTTGATAAGAAAGCTTCACCACCTCCTACGGGTTTTTATATACAGGCTTTTGCTGCACTCACGCACACGACGTGGTGGCCTAGCGCGTAGTCTTTGTGTTTGGCCTGGCGTTGTCTCGGCGGGTTGTTTGCTTCGTCCCATCCAGGAACAGTGGATGTGATGTGACCGGGGCACCACCCATAGCGCTCCCATCCCATACCCCGCTATGGGCTCCGTTCGCGAACGAACTAGCACCCAACTCCTCCATGGAAACTCCATGGAAACTCCGGGAAATTGGGACATCCTTACCTGGAAACACCTTAAGCCTTTACTGTAATCAATTTTTTATGAACATGTGTTTCCCTTATTACAGCCATCCCTTTACAGCCTTCCTTTTTCTGGAAAACGCCAGCTGCACCGTCCCCCGACGACGCGAGACGAACGCCGAACCGCGCTAGACGCCAGGTGGGCGGCTTGTCCGTCTTGGCTCCCTCGAGGCGGACCCAGAAGGGCCCGGGACACGAACATCCCGGTCTCCGAAATGGAAGAGGTATACTGAACGGTTCCGAAAGGCTTCTGAACAAAACGGTGATCTGTTGCTGGGTATGAACATGGAGATTGCGTTGGAACGTTGGGTAAACCTGTGTTCTGGAACCGGCCCCCAGCTGCAAGAGGTGCGACGCGACTGGGGCAGCATGACTACCAGCGCCCCCGGGCCAGGGGTGTCTAATAATAGCCCCTTAAGGGTTAAGGGAGGTCCATTAGCCACCCCAAACAGGGGCCCTGGCAGAGGAAAAACCGTTTATAAGGAGTTTTTGGGAGTGTACCGGGTTCATCCAAGAAGGACATCAAAGAAGGTTTCTTGTCTTCAAACAGTAGGGCATCTATCAGCAAACCTTCCATGATTGTTCAAGATGTTTGGAGCCCTTCTGCGCCCCCCCCAGAAGTGGTTGATAGAATCTTCAAGTTCTTTGTCAGTTTGTCGCACGGTATTCCCCTTTGGTTCAACCACCAGAACCGTTCTCTCATTGGAGAACCACCTGACCCAGAGCTTCCGGAACTTGACATGTTTTGACACATGAATATATCCCTAGGGCTCCAAGTATCTTGATGTGAGGTTCGGTGGGACTGGGGTTGGTTTAGAGGGTCCAGTCATACCGAAGCTGTGGAGGAACTCAGTATCCTCACCCTGTGAGCTTTCCACCAGTATCCTGGCTTGTCCCTCACTCAGAGAACTCTCCACGAAGGGACTGACCATCTCCCGGTCGTCGACTGCATGGATCAGACCTACATCGCATCAAAACCACCGTTTTGGGGGTCAATGTGGCATGGAGTGTCTGGGATAGATATAGACTGCGCTCAAACCATGGATCGAACAGGAGACCCGTTTTCTGTTCGAAACCACGGAGGGACCTCTTCTTCCGCCTCTTCCGCGCGGTGTGCGTTCCGTCCTTCCTTCCGCCCGACCAGGAAGCAGGACTTTGCCCGCCTGGCTCTTCGTGCCATGGCGACTTGGGCATGAGGTCTGGGGGCTCCGAGGGCTGATCGTCCGAGGGCTCTGGGGAGCGGTTAGGGGAGCCGTGAGGTCGGTTTAGGGAGGTGGTGCCCCCCCACAGAACGGCGAACAGCGGGTTCGGACGAGGGCAAACCATGGCATATCGGCAGCCTTTGCCTCCCCTAAACTAAACCTTACATGAGGGATGAACATGGCGGGTAGTAGATTTTGAGAGATGTTCCTCAAATATCCCAGAACCCTCAGGACGTTTTTGAGGCCCAACCCCAGACATGTTCGCCTTATCTTCACTTTTGGGTCCTGGTAGTCCTGGCAGTCCTGGCAGTCCTCAAACACCACGAATCCGATCCAATCACCCAATGATCTCGTTGGAGTGGCCGTCGGTCTGTGTTGCTGCGTGTGTGGCTCTGTTCTTCATAAACCCGAAGTCTGGCCAGGGCATCCAGTTACCACTATACCGTATGCCTTGTAACCAGTGGTTCCAGTTCGACTAAAAACCATAGACCGAACGAATGTCTGGTTCCTTATAGACGTGGGAACTGCCTGGGATACACTGGGTGTAACATTGCTTGCCCCACACGGCCGATCACCCCGGCCCAGGTGACCGGCTCTGTTGCGTGCTTTATGACCGGTTGCATTGCAGGAGTGCCACCGGGGAAAGCGGTGAGTGCACCGATCTTTTGTGCTCCGTGACGCCCATTTTGACGAAGCCAAGCATGTTTGTTTGCTCCAGGTTGATGTGATTTGTCCGTTTCTTTTTCCTTTCTAAAGGATCGTGGAAGCAGTAAGCAGGTGAGGCTTTCTCCTTTCACATTTCAGCCCTCTCAGGGTGCGCCCTTCAGGGTGGTATCACGATGTCAATATCTTGAACCTGGATCAATTTTGCACAAAAACATCTCTGTATGTTCAAATCGTTTCCATTACGTACTCACTAAGCCAACCCGTTGGAAGCGGTGACTTTATGATTCTGATTGTGATGGTGTTTTTGAATTACAAGTCGATGTCAGTCTTCATGAATCGGAGAAACTCAGAGACTAAGAGACATCCTGGGAGATGTCTTTGAACGAGGTCATATCTATACCAGGACCTTCCAAGTCCGGTGGTTTTTGGCCACCTCTTAACCTCTAAGAGGCTATTTATAGACACCTCTTGGAAGGTCCTGGTATAAGTGCTTTCTCTTCTTTGGCTTCCTCCTCAGCGGTCCGACGGTTCGCCTGGGCCGCTGGACGCCGGGATCGCTCGTCGCTTGGAACGCTTTGCGACCCGCGCCGCGCACGGCGTCGCGCGACGAGGCATCCTCATCAGCGACCTGCCCTCCGCGCCCTAACGCCTGAGGGTCCGTAGCAGCGAAAACCGCGAGGCTTCGTGGCACAGAAGGGGCCATGAGGACAGATGGGTCCGTAGTTGTGAGAGGGAGGTTTACTTGAGATGAAGGGAGTCTAGATGAGATGAAGTTCCAAGAACGTTGAGCATAAAAATAGTCATTGTGCAGTTAGTTGTCATGGTCAAGTGTTGTAATTACACACTTCGAAGTGCCAATCGGACACCAGGAAATTTGCAAACAGCTATCTCGGCAGGGCCAAGACAACATCAGCGACCGACCCAGCGAGCTTGAGGAAGCTTTCGCTCTGACTGTAGAGCGTCGACGAATTGCACGTCACCTGTACAGGGTCGGCCCCCAGGGCTCGCGCCAGGAGCGAGTCGAGCGACTTCCGAGGACGTGTGAGGACGCAGAGGATCACGGCTCGAGCCGTGAGCCCACTCTAGATATCCAACAAGACAGAAAAAGAACCCGAAGAAGCATGCAGAAACACAGGACATGTTTGCCCAGTCCCAGTCCCACTTGTTATGTAAACGGTCTTAATTGCCAGGTTCCAACTTGAACCATTAGTTTCATGGAAAACATTTGTTAATGTTATTGTCCGGCAGAGGGCCTTATAGTTCATTTTCCCCACTTCAAAGAATGCCGGTCCAACCTCTTTTTCAACCACCGGAAGCTCCGCCGGCAGCGTCGAGCGACTGGGGGTTGGGCCAGAAACGCCACGCGTTTTCACCCCGAAAAAAAAAGAGTCTTCAGAAGTCAAGTTGGTGGATTCATTTGGACGATTCTTGGATTTCGGGGTGATCTCCCTTTTGGGGGGGGGCTCATGCTTGGAGTTACAGCTCCAGTGCCTCTGTAGAGAGAGTCTAAGTCCCGGACTCGTGCTGAGCTCCAGAAAAGAGTGCGGAACGGGTTCTGAACTGCCGCATGCAGTTTCCAGAGCGAGAAATGTCCTGTGAAACCCTTCAATATTTATAAAGAGGTTTAATACAATCCGAATGGTTTATATAATTAATATATCCAGCACCATCCAGTTTGGGTGGTTGGATGGAACATGGATAGTCAGGGAATGTCAGGGGGGGTCCAAAACCATCCGACCGAGGTGGATATTCCATTTTGGATATCCTACCGTTGCCATGCTGTGATGTCCTGCATGTCGATGGAACAAAACATTGCACACGAGGCAGAGTCCAACGGACGATGCAGGTGCTTCGTTGTGGGGTGTTGTTGAGGGTTGAGTGGTCACAAGTGGTCCGGTGCCAATCTGGCCAACATTTGATGATCTTCGATTTCTTGGCATTCACATGTTGACAGCATTCCATATTTTTGCTACGGGGTTCACTCCGATCTGAAGGATGCTTCTTTCTAAGCAGATATGATTTCCGTGTGTTTCATCCAAGCTGAAAGGGACGCTCAAGCTTCCAGATTGGACCGCCTCAGTGGCCTTCACAAAAACATCTGCACTGCCTCAGTGGTCGCACAGTGGGAGAGCCCCGCGAAAAGGGTCTGGCTTCAACAGGAACGATCCGCAGTCACCGGTTTCACCTGTTCACAGAACATCGATGTGAACAGTGAACTTGCGCACTAGTGACTCACTAGCGCGCTTGGAGCGGATCGCGCCCACCTTGGTCCCAAGCACTTGCGCCGGTGATCTCAGCCGACCGGACCTCGATCCCTGTGCCCCGACGTGCCGCTGCCTGGGCTCCTTCCGCCTTCCGCGCCCCGCGCTCGCCGCTCCAGACGGTTCGCGAGAGTCTGCGCAACCGACCCCGTGAAACACCGAACCGAGTCGAACATCAACGGTGCCTCGGTGGGGGGTGAAGGCGTTGGGTCGGCGAAGGGCGGTGGCGAGAAAATCGTGGTGTTTTTAGGTTCAAGGCGGGGAACGGAGATCAGCGGTCGGTGTGGTGTTGTTTTGATGGTTGTTATATGTTTTAGATACCTTTTTTGGGGGGCGCCGGTGGAAGATGGTGGGAGGGGTGTGGTGGGTGTTGGATGGTGATCCGGGACCGCGGGGTGATGGGATGTGGGGACCGCAACGTTCGTTGGATGGGGACAGCTGGGGTCGAATGCAGGTGCTGCTATCAATTGTTGGTCGAGCAGGGATTTGATGGATTTCAGGTGAAACTGACGGGTTCCAAACATAGCAACATGGCTTGGAGTTTCCCCATGTCATCCAGTTGGATCCCTTGAATCATGGATATGTTCCATTCCAATCTACAACAACTGAGCTGTGCATCCTGCATTTTTTTCCAGGCTTTCTTGGCCCAGTGTATCTTAAAAGGCTCAGTCAAGACGTGTGGTTCTCGGATCGGATGAAGCTTTGAGTCAGCGGGGTATATGGGAAGATTGGGGAAGTACGAGATACTGGTAGGTGTTTCAACATTCACCGCATATGTCATGTTCATCCTCCGCTTTTCAGTTCCACCTTCTACACTCTTTCTCACATGGATGGCAATGGTCCTTTACGGACGTCGGGTCATGTCCACCAATCTACAGAGCTTGTCCGATGCTGACTCCAATCGTCCCTGAGTCCCACATCTCCCGGGTGAAGGACCGAACCCCCCCATCTGCCGCATCGCTGAGATTCCATAGATGGCGAACCAGGCCGCGGCCACGGCCACGGCGGGTGATGTGTTGGGGCGGCCACGGCTGTGTCCACGGGCGCGTCCGAGCATGTGTCTCCCGTTTGGGGAGGACGGTCGACCGGGACGTCGTGAAAGAGAAGTCGGCTCTGCCAACCCCCAGAGACGACGCGACTGGTACGACTGGTGTGAAATGACGTGTTGCGACGAGAGATGGAAGACAGCTGCAGCTCCGAACGAAGGAGAAGGGCACATCCAGTTTCTGGTCGCCATACTTCTGCCGGAAGAGGTCGCCGGTGGAACCCAACTCCCACGGCTGAAGCTGCGTTCGCCGCTCCGCCTCTTCCCGGCTCGGTGCCAAGCGCGCACCGACGGGTGGTGGTGAGAACGGACGGGCAAATGCTTCAGCGATACTGGATCTTCCCGGTGACCGAACCGACCGAACTGGATTCACTGGTTGGTTCGGTCACCTGCCAGGCTTGTAGAAGGTCACCTGATTTGGGACTCCAAAAAGGTCACCGGGAAGATCCTGGCATGAGGTGGTTTATTTGGACCCCACATGTATATGTTTTTTTCCTTCGATAACCACGGCCACCCGCTACCCTTTCCATGGTGCTGTCAAAGGAACTTCCCTAGCCTTCCATTCTGTTCGACCATGAAGAAGAAAGGTTGACCTGGCTTGTAGTCCAAAATCCTTCGTAAAACAGCTGGTTGTTCGGGATTCAGGCTATTAAATCCAAGTTGGCCAGGAATCTATCGTTTTTGAAAAGACCACACGGTGCGACCGCGACATCGGCCGCGATGCCGCACCCGACCAGGGCGTGCCACGGTGCACGCTGTGCCTTTTTATTGCCACCATCAGCTGTGACTCGACGACAGGTGGTTCGGTCGGCCGGGGGAAGCTGGAACTCTGGGAAGTATATAGTATGTAAGAATGCTCCGTTCGTAGCGATGCCAGGAGCCCCGAACGTAGCGTCCTTGCTCCTAGTAGTAGGCCAGGAGCTAGTAGTAGGTTGTTGTTACTGCATGCCTTTTGTGAACCCGCATTCTCAGAGTGGCCCTGGCTGCTGGAACCTGAAGATCGCGTGACCGGATCATCCGCGATTGGCCGTGCTGGTTCAGGTGCTCAACGCACCAGAACCGCTCTGCGGTCCCCTTTTGTTGGGCCCAACAGGACGTCGGGCTGCAAGGCGGTCATGCAGATCCCATGAGCAGGGTGAGCAGGTGGTGAAACACCCAAACATACCAACAGAGGTTAAGTGACCTTATAGGACCCTACAGGGATACCTATAGGATAGCCTATTATAGGGTTTTTCAACCTTTGCTGGTAGATCTTGGAACTTGACCCTCACGTACCAGGTGTCCAGGTGTCCGGTGTTGAAACAACAGGTGGACCGAGGACGCACCGTCCACTCGTCGTGGTGGTGTCCGTCCTTCGGTCCAGCTCGGTTGGGCGATTTGGATCGCAGCGATTCCGGCGACGGATCCTCCGCGCCTTTCGAAAGCGGCACAGCGGACCCGCCGTAGCCGATGGGGAGCGATGGGAAGAGAGGCTCTTCGTGGAGCCGTGCCACCGGTGGTTGGTCGCAAGTTCCGAGCAACAAGTTTTTTCTGTGCCTGGAGAGAGATTGGGCCGGTCTGAAATGGAAGAACACACGGGAAATGGAACAGGTTTGAGAAAACAATGCCTCAAGGAATGTTTAAACACGGAAGCCTTGAAACAGAAGCGCTACTTACTTCGTGCATTCCATTGATGCAGGCGCAGGTGATTGCACAGTGGCAACGCTTCAGTGCAGTGAGTGAGTGCCAACATCGAACAGGCAAGAATCAGAGATCGAAGCAAAGACCAGTGCGGCCGCGCGTGGTGGGGGGTCGCCCCTAGTCTTCACGGCGGCGAGTTGAAGTTCTGAGATGTAAAGCTGGTGAGTCGCCACAACCTGGCCCAACAGTGGAGTCTGGACGCGGAAGATAGACCCCGGCATGGCTCCACACTAGCCGTTTGTTTGCACACCGTTGTTTTGGGGGCTTCTTCAGCACCAACTTGGAAGACGCATCCGCGGCATCATGCAACAGCACCAGAGTCTGGCGGGCGAGTTCTTTCAAGACCAGAGGCTCAGTTGAGGATCTGAGCCTGCTCTTGACTCTTGACCAACTCTTAGTCTTGTTGCGCTGGCCACACACCCCTTGTCTCCAATGCTATGCATGCCATTCTGCACCTTTTGTCCAGCAAAGTCGGACAGAGTGCAGCCTCCGCTGCCTAACAAGGCAGCATCCGGTAGGATCTCATTGTGAACAGCGAAAACGATCTCTTCGGACAAAAGAAGACTTGCTAACCAGTTCCTGAACCCTGCATAGGGGGCGGCACAGTTGACGCTTGTTCAACCCGCTTCTCCTGAAGGAGACCAAGATCTGCTGGTTAGAGCTTGCTCCCTTGCCAGGCCTCCTAAAAGTAACATAAGCACGTCTCCTTCCCACCCTAGCAGTGGCGGTTTTCCATCTAGGCTTTCTTGATTCAAGGTGACTATCCAGCAGTTCCAAGTGAAGGGTTTGGAGTCCTGTGAGTGGATGGATGCGACAGAGGGCTACCCTCCAAGTTCGACCACTCCGGCCACCGCCCCAACGGCCAACTCTTCACCTTAACCTCTCCTTGGGCCCAACAACCACCCCTCCCCACCTGCCGCGGCTGGCTGTCTTCAGGGCGCACGGAAGGCCAACGCCGGTTCTCGGCTGGACACTCTCTGAGGCCATGTCATGGTCCTCGTCGGAAACCTGTACACCTCCAAGATGCTGAGCGGCATCGGCAGGCGACGAGATGGGGGGTGATGAAGACGAGACATGCCACGTGCCCGACATGGGACGTCCATGGACCCTAACATAGAGCCCTAACATGGTTGAGGATGGTTGACCTGGGTTGTTGGGCTGCTCCAAAGTCAGTCAAAACGATGGGTTGGTGCCATGCGGTGTCCACTTGGAGTCGGGAACGAAGGACGCCGAAGGAAGTGAGTCTGGGATCTGGAGCGACTCCTTCCATTGCCAGGGTCGGAGGGTGCCGTGTACCGCCAATGCCTGGCAACTGGTGCTTCCTGGTACAGGTAGACTGGGTCTATCAACTAAAATAGTAATACTATACTATATACTATAATTATAAGATTATTTTACCAGGAGACCCCAAGGGGTGTTGTTTGCAGACACCCGTTACCACCAATTGGCACCACTTAGGGTCTCCTGTTGTATACCTGTAGCAGAAGCTCAGTAGCCCCAGACATTCAACGTCGTTCTCCAAAAAGCTGTGAGGTCTGTTTAACGAGGTGACAGGACATGAGCAATTGCTTGGAGGTAGGGCGGAGGTGTCCGCAGAATCTTGGACTTTGGCTGCGGAGAACCACCACCCTGCATGCAAGCTCCTGACATCAGTTGCTGCTATGAAGTGCAGGGAATCTGATCCCAACAGGAAAACGTGCCGAGTTGCAGCACGTTTGGTTGCACCATTTTCAGCAGCTTGGTCAGGGCGCCCTGCTGTGCTTTGGATCAACCAAATCAACCCACATGACCAAGGCTCCTTTTGGCGCCGTGTTCGCGGAACACAACTGCCTCCAAAAGTTGATGGAAGATCCAAACCCCCCGCGCCAGGGCCCCACCAGGCCCCCGCTTTGGCTGTTTCATGGACGCCCCTTAACCTCTGTTTGGAGGCGGGGTCGAAACCGCCCTGGATCTCACTTCGGTGCCAGGTCGGCCAGCGGCTGGGGGAGTGTGGCGTCCAGCGTCTCGTGCGCCAGGAAAAAGGGACATGGAGCTGGCCGATGTGTGTTTTGCTTTTTTGTGTCCTTTATTCCCAGACGCTCCGTTCACAGCCCTTGGTCCCTGAAAACCCTTAAGGGATTGGTTCGGGTCCAGACCCCTCCAGAGGATTCGGGTCCGACCCCTGCATATGAGGGTCCAGGAGCGTCTGGGTTGATCATTCTTGTAGAGTTCATCATAGACTCTGGTGGTCAGCTGTACTAGTCCATAAAGCCCCAAAGATCCACCGGGACGTTGGTTTGGGATGGTTCTCGGGGGAAGCACCACCGCGAGTTGCCACATGAACACCATTGCCAGGTACGCGTTGGACAATGAGCTTCAGCCTGCGATGGGCAACGTGACTTGGCGCCCGGATTCGGGTTGGAGGCCATCGCTAGTATACGTTGCTATTATAGTCTATAACATCACATTGATTGAGAAGAGGTATACATCTATTCTGAGCTCAGTGATGTGATTTCCTATGCCTGTCGCTTGATCGACACCTTCCAAACACCTCATGAGATCGACATCGCTCTTCACAACGCCCCCCCTTGGCAGCGGCGCGCGCTTGTGCGCGCTCGTCCGCCTGGGCGTGTGTTGTGCGCTCGTCGTTGCTGTGGAGATGATTCACTCAGATCAGATCCACCCATATCCACCTTCCCCCAGATCTCATGGGATGGATGCGGACCGGATGGAGCTGCGAATGGAGGCGTCTCTCCGAAATGGCCAGGGGCGAAGGACAGCGATCTGAACAGGGATTCCAAGTGAGGCATGTGGTTTGTTTTTGCGCGCTCAAGGCTTCATGAAGGGCCCAGTCCTGGCTCAACTACTCTGGTCTTCAACTCTTCATCCCACCCAGAAGCATCCCCAGACATGTAGAGACTCACACCCCGCATGTCCGTTTTGGGGAGGTGGTTCACTCACGAACACCCCGTACGCACAGTGCGTCGCAGCAGCCGGCTTTCGCGGAGGACACCGCCCCAGAGATAGATATGCTCATGAATGCTCTGTTTGGTCCGTAAGATGAGCACAAATGATACCACCAAAGTGTTTTACCTAGTAGCAAGGTGCATCGCAACTAGTAACGAGAAGCTACAAGTAGCGATGCATTTGGGGCGCAGAAACGCCGAGGTGACGCAGTGGCTCTCCACAGCCGTCGACGTCATTGACGAGTTCGAGGAAGGCGCGCATCGACCTCGCAGGTGGCTCTAGAGTAGGGAAGGAACTGTCTGTGAGGAACTGCCTGTGGTTTTGTTAGATTCTCTTCCCCACTTTTTGGGCTGCATGGCTACAATCTGGTGATCTTCCTTGTTGGAAAAGAGACAAATACTGGAGTTGGAACTGAACAAGATTTGCTTGACGATATGTTCATTCCTTTCGAAACCGATGCCCGGCTTCCGACTGGGATTCCTTCAGTTTTTTTTCACAACAAGCTGATCCCACTGTCACCGGGGAAATCCGTCGCTCTGCGATTCCCTGCCCAGGTGTGGACAACATGTTGTCCCTGACTGGCTCCACCATCGATAGCACTCTGAAACAATATGCCTCATGGCGAGACCTCGGTGGTCGACGGCAGTTTTGGGGATCAAAGCGGTGATTTTTCTTCGGAATCAGGAAGTGTCAGTTTTTATATAAAGGACGAGCTGACAAGCTCTGAGAACACAGGATGGTCAACTTGCTGTGGCTCGTGAGCGTTTGTTCATGCTATGGCTGTGTCTCCCAATAATTATGAGAACCACCCCATTTTCCTACCTTTCGTTCTAGACTTGTTCTCTCGAATTGGGGGCTCGGTGTTGTTGGGGGCTGCCCGGATGGTTGGAAGAGACCAGCGGTGACCGAAATGCGGTGGCCCAGCGCCGTGATCGGTCGGTCCGTTGTTCGACCGAGCGGCGATGAGCGGATCGGTCTCGATGGGTTCGGCGGGCCGAAGGCCCCGAAGACTGACCAAGATCAGCTCAGTATCTTGACATCAAGACTGATCAAGACGTGTTATGGATCACCTTTTTTTCCAGCTTACTCCCACACTCCTCCGCTATGGGCGTGTTATGGTATGGCGTGTTCGAAAGCACACATCTGCATACCAGCTACAGAACAAGAGTGTTTCGAAAGAAGTGAAGACAACAGAGCCACAGTCACTTTATGTTCCTCCCCTCATGACCGTAAAGATGCACCTTGCAGTACCCTGGGAGTCCAGTCGACCTCAAAAACCCTTTTTCCAGACGCGACCCTGGACCCTCATATCAAAACGTCGGGACTTTCATATATGGAGGGCTCTGGGGTCGAACCAATGCGGTTTGGAGGGACCCAATGTGTTTGGGCTGTGAACACGTCAGGACCTCGGCACCGGAACCCACCGATCGGTGTCGCCTCAGGCGCCGAACATGACCGAGGCGAAGTTCGAGGCGAACGCAGCGTGTGAAGCGTGGGAAAGCGCTGCCTGTTGAACCGCCCGCCACGAGCGTTCGATGTGTTGATGTTTGGTTTGAAGTTCGAGGTGTGTGTTTCTTTTTTTCTGCACAGACCGATATACAGATCGTAAGTTGAACTACCACGAGGTATGAGTCGGTCGGACCACAGGTCGGGATGGCCGGTCCTCGACCCTCCAGCCGTAGCAGTCGTCGCAGGCGATTGCTCGACATCATGTGGAGCAAGTGGCCACCAAAGCCATGAAGAAGGTGAGGTCGATCTGTGCAGCAGATCCGGGGGGGTTTGAAGGTGGAGGACTTCGGAGTTCGTCATATCCATCATGAGTTTGGTCCAGTCCGGGCCAGTAGTAAAATCTGGTCCAGTCCAGCAACTCCTTGAGTTTGATCTGACCAACACTCCAGTAAAATATCAAGGTGCATGGTAAGGCAGCAAGAAAAACATATAAAATGAGATCCAACTGACTTGTACCAGGTGTTTCGAGGTGGTGTTGACACACACCCCTTCACTTCACCTCTTTGTGGGGCTCAAAATGGTTTCAGTCACCCGTGCGCCCGTCCTCCGACTCGGTCGACCTCAACGGGGTCATACCAGGACCCACGTACGTCGGGTCATCACATGGACACCCCATAGGTGCACCTCTTTTTCTTCGGAGCTATCGAACCCTCGGTTTTCCGGGGTCCTGTTTTTCTTGCATGTTCTTTCGCGCTCAGGTGGAGCCTTTAACCTACAAAGTCATGGACAGCTTGAGGCCGCAGGGCCGCGGGTCACGCGGGTCACGCGGACGCGGACGCGCGTTGCGTGCGTGTCGTGCACCCGGCTTGGGAAGGGCGTGTCCTGCAGTCCGCTACCATAGTAACTATAGGGCATCGCTACTAGTAGCTTCTAGCTACTATAGTAGTAGTGCCGGGAGCTACTATCACAACATCACCCCCCCAAACACCCCCCCTCCTTTTTGAAACTAGATTGAAATAATGCTTCAGTGATACTATAGTAGTAAGGTGCCTTGTTACTAATAGCTTCTAGCTACTAGTAGTGATGCCCTTGTTACTACTAGCGATGTCCTTGTTTCTGTGACCGAAAGGGGGCGGAGTCTTCAGGTGTCGGCCATAGAGGGGGTGTTGGGGCGGAGGTATTTGGGTGGTCGTCAGGGAGGGCTGGGAGGGTGTTTGAGGGTTTGAGACCAGCAATTGGACTCAGATTTCGGGGATATTTCATCTCCTTCCAGGTGATAAGATTGGTTACTTGGAACCAGGTGACTGCTAATCACTTGGAACCTGGAAACCCAGTCCCCATGATGTTTGCACTTGGAAGGATCTCAATTGCCATGATGTTTGGAACAACCACTTTGTTTCTGGTTGTTTGGGGCTTCCAGGAATTGATGTTACTATATCTCTGATCTTCAAACAACTATGTTGTGTGAGGTTGATGGGGGCCGTTGTAGTGGCAGATGTTCATCATCCTTCACCGGATCTTGGAACGACGTTTTCATTTTCATGGGAGCTTCCCCAAGGCCTTCACGCGATATCTTCCTTCGTCACTCCCCCCAAATCTCGTGTACGCACACGTACACTGGCCGCGACTGGCACCGTAAGGCATCCGATCGGGGTGCAGTCTGGGAGTTACCCTGCGAACCGACGGAGTTGACTCAGGCCTCCCTTGAAGCAAGTCAACGAGTGGTGTGGTGCCCCAGGATGCGGTGGACCGGGCACACCGACGTCGCGGTGCTGCAAGAGAAGCCTTCTATGACTTTCTCCTTTCTCATCGACTTGTGCTCCTGGGAATTGGACCCCAAAAGGAATCCGTTGTCATCGGCTCATGATCCGAGTAGCACAGGCGGCTCTTCGAGCTCTTCCAAAAACCCAAAAAACACCCGTGCCCCTCCCCCCGGAACCCCCATCCAAACCTAGTCCATCCGTATGGTTCGCATTCCCCCACCCCTCCACACCACGCGGCACCACCTTGCCGCGCGAAGCGGGTGAGGTTGGGCAGCTTCAGCGAGAAGATCCAGGACACCTTGGAGGAGTTCGGCACCGTTGCCGCGCCTCGGTTGGATTAGATGACCCAATGCTGTCCGGTGGGTTTGGGTGGGCATGTTTCTGCTGCAGAACAGTGGTCTGCATAGTGGTCTTGAGGTGATGCAAAGGTCGTGGATGGGAGTGGTGTTTGAACGCTTTTTGATCGACATCAAATTGACATTTTGATGAGATTTGATGAGTATGGAACGTGCTAAGAGACGGGGTGTGTCGGTGTGTGAGTGTGTGTGTGTGTTTTAGAATCAAGTATAGTCAGTAGCATGGACAGTTTCACCCAACAGGTAGGGGTGTCAGTGTTCTTCGGTCTTATATATTTTGATTTCCACCAAAAAGCACAATCGGATCAAGATGAGGGCCCCTCAGTTGCCATTTGACCTTGGCGCTCAGGATCGTGCACAGAAGTTGGTGGACCAGGCGCAATAAGAACATGAGGAAGGGTTCGGAGTGGGTGGGTACGACCGGGTAAGAGTATGTACTCCGTCGAAAACTGGACCCTGAAAACCGGTGCAGCTAGAGGAACACAGTCTTGACCCGGGTCCCATCCGACCCGGGTCGATGGGGAGACAGCCGTTTTCGGGAATGGGGACCCGATATCCACTCTCATGACCCGGTCATCGACCAGCCCGTGGCCAGCTGGGGAGAGGGGACCCTCCGGTGCTGCAGGTCCTGAAAAGGAAAGTCCGTCCTCCATCGACGGGGGGAAAAAGAACCACGCTGTCCACGCTGTCCACGGCCACACGGCTTCAGTGCCTCACTGAAATCAAGGAAGCTTCCTGACCTCAGATCACCGAGAGTCATTCAAACCATTCCTAAGGCAAAAAACAGACACAGATCCACTGGGACCTCCCACCTCAGTGGCGGCGTGACAACCCCCGCCACTGCGCCTGACGAAGACCAGCCCGCCCGCCTCCCCACCGACAAAAAGTCTTCCGCGCGCGCGGCCTGACGCGTCCGAAATCGGCCTTGCATGGATTCGCGTGGAGGTGATGACGCAGGTGAACTCTGCTGGAGGAATGGCCGAGGCGCGCGGCCGAGCGAGGTGGAACGGCGGAGACGGTGAGGAACGGCGGAGAGGGACCGGCCTGCCACCTCTCACCCGACAGTTGGAACGGCCTGAACCACGTTTTGGCATGACGTGAAAGGACGAATAGGCTTATCTCACACTCCATGAGACCCAAACAACTGAATTCACATGCATTTGGCGGTGGTGAACCAGTTGGGGTCTTTCTTGGGCGGCATATCTTATATATCTTCCAGTCTGGAGGTCCATTCATTGGGTCTGTCCCATTACCTGTAACAGTCGGTGAACAATATGCAATCATTACAAATGTTAGATAAAGGCCTTTACAAACCGTCATTATCCACAATTGCTGGTCATAGGATATACCATGACATACCCAATCCAATTTCCTTAAGTTCTATTTCTAGTCGCGTCAGTTCTATCGTGCAGCTCCTCCGTTCCGGGCGAACTCGTGCGAACACGCTTTGTTCTCCCGCTTTGTTCCTCGCGCGCGCGGAACGCCGAGGAGATGCTTTGGGATACGTATCACATCTTCGATCCCTATGACGATGGCATTCAGCTCCACGAGTTCAAGTTGGTCCGGGAGCCGAAGGAACCACACGGCGTGATGACGGGACGGACGTGCGGGGGGAAGAAGAGCCTGTTGTGCCAGAGGTTGGTGTACTGGAGGTATGGCTGGAGGGATGGGACCTGAAAGAGGTTGATGCACTTGGTCACACCTGCAGGGATGGGTGGTGAATGGATCAAAGTGAGGCAACCAGAGGCAACCAGAAGTTCCAAACAAAACCACTCACTGATGGGACAAAAAAACATTCCTTTGGAACTGCTGAACAACACAAGTCAATACTTGTCAACTATCCAGTGAGACTCGGCACCGTTCGCAGACTTCCCAGCCTCAACTCCCTGCAGAACCCCGGTATACACATCCACCGTACGCTCGCACGGTGCGTTTCTTTCCAAGGCCAGGTTGAGGGTGAAAGCGAGCAAACATCGAGAAAATAGGCATACTAATTACATACCAGCACCTTCAAAGGGGTTACCAATGGAAGCCCCTACACTACCAGGGATCTCCATTGGACACCCCTTTGAAGCTCCAGGTATATAGTGCATACAATATAGCTCTTTGTTGGCCGCCCATATATGCGTATCCCAACTCACGGGCGAGGTCGCCGACCAGTACGGCATCTCCGCCCTCCAGGGGCAGAAGGCGAGGTCGACGCCCAAAGCTACTGGAGACGGGTCGGTGGTTTTCAGCTTTCGAACGACTTCAGTCATGTGGGGGTAGTTCTGAGGCAGGCAATGTGATTCGTCAAGAGTGGATGGAGAAAATTCTATGAACATCCTCCAGCACCACCCAAAGGGTGGTGTATAGACCCCCCTGAAGATGTGCTGGCTGAGATCAATGAATTGGCTGATGTTGCGAAGGTTGAGATTGTGTCACACATCTGGTCGACGAGATGGCTTTAGAAAGAGATCGCCCCAACAAATACTAATATAAACCTGTGGTTCCAAAGGGGTACGTCTATTAGAGGATAGGGGTGCCCATGATCCATTCGACAGACAAAAAACCATCCCTTTGTCACCGGTAAAAAATCATATAAGATCATTTCGTTGGATCTGGGTGTCACAACTTTACATTCGGGTGTCGCACCTATTGATAGGGTGCCAATTTGCAGCCACAAGCTTCAAAGAAAGCCGTGGGGGCTGCCATGGGAGTATGTCTGATGCACGAAGAAAGCTTTTCAGTTGCAGCAAGTTTTTTGACAGAGGCTAGCATGTGAAGTCAACCATTTTGCATGTGTGCAAGGTTTTTGAGAATCTGTTCTGGGAGAGATCCAGACACCACTGGCTTGGACAAGGCTGATCATCATGATGACCGTCGCAAGAATTTTTTGAAGCTAGTGGGCAGGGAGAGGAAACAAGAGATTGAGCAGAAACCAGCCGAGAAGAACAAAGAACCTGCTTGTGTGGCTTTCACTTTAGAGGGTTTACTATCCTTCCAAAGAGGCTGCTCCAAGCTGGATCTTGTGAACAAGACTCCAAATAGGAGGGATACGATGCTTAGGGCCAGGCCAAACTACAACAATCGAAACCGCCGTCTTGCAGCAAAGCAATATGATCGAGTGAAGCAACTAGTTTTACAACAGCTCAACGATTTTGTTTGTTTGGGCTTTGATTGACCACAGGTGGCAGGAATCTGTCATCAATCAGGAGGGGGTCTCGACCTAAGGCATGGATCAACTGGTGCCAGCAGGTCAAGGTTGGAGGACTTGACTGGTCGAACTTGCAGATGCAGCCGGGGAACTTGTTTCCAACGGCTGAGAGCCGTCATGAACACGTTGATGGAGTTCCTGGCTGTGTTTTGGGGGCTTACCAAGCAAGTTCAAGACCTATTCGTCTAAACCTCAGGAGTAGAAGGGACATGACAAGTTCACCGTTCCTTCAACAGAATCGCAGGAAGACTGAATGGACAGGGGATGGCAGGCATGTTGATGATTGGGGATGCCGCATCTTAGGTGGAGCAGGTGATTGGCGAATCTGGAGATGAGCGGAAGCGGTGGTCCCTATTGGGATACCAGCTTTCCCCGAAGTGCATCGTTGCACTCCTGGGAATGGGAAATTCCAGGCTTCAAAGAGTTCAACAAGGCAGAGCTGACCGTCGCTTTAGGATTTGGGGTGCTGTAGCTTTGTTTGCATTAAGCTGAACTCACACTGTTTCAATCAATCAATCTGATGCGAGTGGATGTGATAGATCACCTAGTGTGGGAGACAATGTGTTTCGATCAACCATAAAGTCGTTGAAGCCCTGCGGCTTACTCTTAGTAGCCCAGGAGAGGAGAAGGGCGCCTATCAAAACCAGGCGGATCAATCAGTTTCTAATGGCGCAGTATGCTCAAGCTGCTGGAATGATGCCAGCGAAGTCTTTAAGCAGAAAAATACTGGTTTGTTTTTTTGCAATCAGCGTTTGGCTTACTCACTCAATCAATTAAGGTTCCAGCGTGCTGGCCGGCCACAAGCAAAGCATGGAAAGAGACTGACTGTTGTTCTCTTTTACGAGAAGAGGAAGGATGAGAAAGACAGTGCCTTGCCGACAAAACTACTGTTTCCCAATTGAGTTATTTTCCTTTGGCCTGCTGTTACATTTTTAAATCATTGAATAAGAATCATTGACAGTTTCCCGATTGAATCAATCATTGAAGAAGAACTGTTGGATTGTGAGGTAGTGGAAGTGAGACAGAGTCAACTGGATCTCGGGATGATGAGCTGCCAATTCCTGAGGAGACTTTGGAGTCAGATCAGGAGCTGCGTTTGCATATCTTGGGGTGCAACTCCTTCTTTGGGCAGTGAGAACCCAAGTGTTGCTAATTCTGTTGAACATCTCAGAACACAGGCACGATGAGAAGCTGCAAGTTGGACAGCTTGGATTGAGGTACATCGAATGTAATTTCTGGAACAAGATCGACAATCTACCTACAAGATTCTTACCACCAGGCAACATCCGAATGCTATTCCATCAGATGGCTGCTGCCTTGCCTGAAGGGGAAAAGGTGTCGTGTCTTCCCTGAATCAAGTGTTTGTACGACCTGACATTGTCCAAGGTTGTCCAATAGTATGTCGTACATTATTATAACTCAGGTACATGACGTTTTGGAGATGCTATAGAAGAGGATGGGACAAGGTGCTGAGGTTTTTACCTCCCTCAACGCACGGATGCTGCGAAACCTGCTTAAAATGCAAAGATGAGTTCCGGGCAACCAGAGAGACTTAGCCAGAGAGTGAATACGTTGGTTATTGACACTGTGTAAACCTTGAGATTCTGAGTTGACTAATTCTTTGGCTCAGGATTTGCAGCAAAAATATGAAATAGCGAAGGACTACAAAATTCACATAGACCAGGTGGGACGCGATAGATCCCTTGAAGAATTTTGTCAAGTGCGCAAGCTGCAACTAAATGCTACACTGCTGTGATCCTTCACTCATTCCATGTGATATTGTGAACCCAAGGCACAGTCACCAATCCAAATGCCTGGAAATCCGATGTGCATATTCTGGGTGTCTTGATCTGATGAGGGTGTTTGTAAAATCTCTTGGGGGCCTGTTGGTTTCCTAAAATTGTTGGTTTCCTCAACCCGGGTCTCTCACCCAGCCCAGCCTTTTGATTTTCAGCTGCTGGTGAAAATCTATTCTACTATGTAATGTGTGAAACATTCCATCCAGGACGGAATGGACCAGGCAAAGTGGAGCATACCAAGAAGCCGAGAGACAAGATCCGGGAAGGCAATACTCATGTTGCCTAAGCCCCGCTTCAAAATCCAGGGCGTCTGGATTCAGAATGTATGTCTGGACATGTATGTCATTGACTGCAGAACGAAATCCGATGCCAGCACGGTATTGGAATGTGGACTGAGATCTATCGAAGGTGCAATGAAAAAGTGTGATGATCAAGGGAAACCAAGACCTGATCAAGCAATCATCTGGGAAGCTTATCTCAACAGTAAGAAAGCACTGTATCTTACAACGCTGAACATGCAGGGTTACTAGACATGGGGTGATTGAACTTGTGCAGGGTTACTAGATATACTAGGCGTGATTGAACTTGTGCAGGTTGCTAGATTCAGATGTATACTAGGGGTGATTGAACTTGCACAGGGTTACTAGATGTATACTATCAGGGGTGATTGAACTTGTGGAACCAATTCAACAAACTGATGAGTTCACAATCCAAGGCAGATAACTGCCCGAGGGAGAACAAAAACAATGTTGTGCTGAAGCTGCTATGTTGGTTGGTGGGCTCATCCAAACTGAGCCTTGCTGCTTTACTCTTCAGCTCCGTGGGTCACACTCACGGGCCCCTTGGAATCTCGGATCCAGGTCAAGCTTCAAACCTGTAACTATCGAAAACTCAATTTGAGCCTTCAAATAGTCTTGGACACGTTGCTTCTCTCGGACACTAAGATCAAATCTTCGGACTATTAGCAACTGCTGTACGGTATTGCGACATCCTCGCCGATGCTGAAGATGTAGTGCAGTGCTTGCCTCAATGTCCTTGAACATAACAATAAGCAGCACAATATGGACAATGCACGCTTAGAATCTTGCTGCTCCCAGGAAGATTGACACATTGCTGAACAAAATAGGGCTTCGACAGTGGATTGGAGAACACGCAAAAATCAATGTCCAGTTTATATCCGGGGTGAGAGACTGGAAAACTTGGCCCTTTGTCTGACTTAATGTCACAGTGGAACTTTAAGGTTGGTTTGACATACCTCACTTTGTCTTGGCCTTGGCAGCAAGATTCTACAGTGGCACCATGTCGGCTGTCAACTCAGGACTTCCAATGCTCCAGTGACCTTTAGCGGGGGCATGAGAAACGATGAGAGTGCTTGGCACGCTTTCATTATGATCAAAAGACGAGGCATGTACAGGGAAAACTGTTTGGTGGATTGAAACCTTTCAGTCAACCAAAAGTGTGGGGTGCGTGTCCTTGCAGATTTGCCCCGGAACATCACGGTGGAGGCGACGGGTAGAGGTGCTTCCTTTGAGGCGCATCCAGAGGATGTCATTCTCATGGTGAAAAGGCACGCGAGTGATGACAAGTTGGGGCAGGAGAAATGGAAGAAAATGTGACAGAGTATGGGTTGGTGACTTTCGGTGGTCAATACCTGTTGTTTAGAGCATAGGAAACGGCCTTGAAGAAACTAGGGAATGGATGAGAATGGTATACCTGGGGAGTCATACTATGACTGACTGTAACATTGTAAAAACAATGTAAAACCTATCAACCAAAACGTTAAAAAGACCTTCTGCAAATGGTGGTTTTACATTCACCACATTCACCATGCTTGTGCAGGAGCCTTTGCTCGCGTTCCCACATCGATTCTTGCAGATGATGGGCCCTATACCACAGGAGCCGAGGCCTTTGGTCCCAGTCAAACCTGACAAAAGGGAAGCCTACATGACCATTGCCAAACACATCTTGAAAAGGGTTCCCACAGAATCTGATAGAAGATCGGTAAAGTTTTTAATCGAGCTGTGCACCAAGCTCTCCCCACAGCCCGTTCCGCCCTTGCCTTGGACGCAAGAAGCCGTTAGTGCAGAAGGTGTTCGCATCGGCCTTCCGCAAGCAGTGGCGCGCTTGTGCCCTGTAATAAAGTTCAGTGCAAAGCTTGGAGCTTAGACAGTGACAAGCTGACTCATCGGATGGGA